TGAGCCGAGAGAGCTGGAGGTTGCCTACTTTGTCGTAGACGGAATCGTCCCAGTCGACCCAGTGCTCCTGGACAAGCTTGGCCTGAGTCGGAGCGTAAATGAGGGGAGGAGTCCTGAGAGTCCAACACGCACCTTCAACCCGTACTTTGCAGCAACAGCAGCGACCTGCCGCGTATGGTTGCTCTGCACGCCCCCAATCGAGACAAGCGTATCGCACTTTTGAGCGAGGGCATCCGCCAATAGGTATTCGAGTTTACGCGTCTTGTTCCCGCCAAAAGCAAGTCCAGAGTTGCAGTCCTCGCGTTTAGCCCAGATCTTGACCTTGCCACCCAGATCGGCGCTCATCCGATCGAGGGCATGGATAGGGGAGGGTCCGAAGAGCAGGTTCTCTCGAGGGATGTCGCAGAATGGGGCTGGGAGGACGAAGGGCATCGTGTGGAGAGGTAGTAGTCAGAGAAGACGGGTACTTATGACCGCAACCATCGGCGAAGCATTTAGCCCAGCTGAGCGATCCGCTTGTCGTCAAGACAGCCTCCGCGCCGGGAAAAACAGAGTCCGCGTCGGGAAAGTGATGTCCGCGTCGGGAAAGAGGGGGCGTCCGCGTCGGCGAAAGGCGGGTCGACGGGGAGCGCGGCAGATGTAAGCAGGAGCTCTAGACACTTCCGAAAATGGGTTAGGAGCCGCCGAGCTCGTGGCACTTGTCCTGAAAACGCACCAGTTGTATATGGCGAGGTTCTTATCGGCTCATTTGGGCTTCGCGGGCCACTGATTGAGGAAGTCGGAGGATGAGATCAGGGCTACAGAGTTTGTGGTCTGAAGCACTGCGGTGAGATGGTGGTGGAAGGCAAGCCAGACACGATGAGGTAATCACGCATCATAAAGTGTGATCTCACGGCATTGCTCGGCACGTAGAAGTAGAGGTGAGAGCGGAAATCTATGGTATTATGTGAATAATCTGTCTATGCCCGAATCTGAATCCAACGTCCCGACCCAGAGATCATTGAGCCCAAATGACGGAGGCGTGTCCAAAACCTGGGCCGACAGCTGCTGCAACAAATCAGAGTCGGACTGCATAGCGCCAGAGCTGGAAGCGACAGCCCAATCGCCCGAGAACGAGAGCGAAACATGAGATTCCATACGATCAACGAGCGAATGCAACTCTGGGTTGTCTCGCGAGTAGCCCACAGCTTTTAGCATGTCCAGGATGCTACAAAATCAATCAAATCACAATAAGCACCAAACGAGGCTTTCTTTTCACGCACCAGTTGAAAGCGTCAATACGCCCCGCAGGCACGCCTCCCTCCTTATCCGCTTCTGCCAAACAAAACTGCGCCCAGGGCAAAACCACGATCCACGTCAAAAAATCCGGCGGGTACGGCCGCAATTTGAGGTACCGCACGACATCGTCGACTGCAGCGCCTGCCATGGCGTGTGCTTGATTGCGTAGGAGCGCCAACCTCGCAACGTCCGATTGCTGGTGCCCCGAATCCAAGTGCGCAGTGTTGGTAGAGGGAGAGTGGACCACGCGATATCGAGAGTCGAGGTCTCTGTAGAGGGCGATGGTGAGACTCGTCGAGCCGACGGCCATAGCAGAAACAATGGATCGGACGTTCTCGTCGTCCGATGCGCCCCCCGGAGCACCGGTGAACAAGACGCGCTCTTGACCCGATAGCCAATTTGTTTGGGCGAAGAGGAAGGAGACGATGGATTGCAAAGTGGATAGAGCGGAGAAAAAGTCCGTTATGGCGTTCTCGGCGATCGGTTGGCGATGGGTGTGTTCTGTGGGTGTCAACGGAGATGATACAGATTCACGGGAGATGCATACCTCCGAGAACTTTCTCGTACAATTCACGACTCAACCGGCTAACGTGGAAGAAGACTGGAACAAGTCAGTGAATTCAATCAATGAAGAGAATGGGGATTGTATACCGGGTTGGATGGCTCCATAGACCATTTGCGTAGCAGTCTCCTTCGTCGCCAGGGATTCCAGGATGCTGCTCAACGGAGGTGGTTCGGGACCCGATATCAAGAGTTGGTCGGCGTATGATCTATTTACATGAGTGTACTCCTTCGAATTTTGCGGCAAATGTAACATACGGCAGCACAGGTTTGCGTTCCAAGATCGCAGTAAGACTCTCCATCATCTGGAGGAAGATATTAATTGACAAAGATGGAGAGTGCGGGACACACCAGAAAGCCTGCCCAGCTGGCGTCGTTCGGCCTCCAATTCCAGACTACAGCAAGACTGCGTATATGGGAGATATACGCGAGCGCCCACGGACGAATCGGAGCGTGTCGAGCTGTATGTACTCCGTAAACACGTCAATACATGATTGAATGATGAGACCCACTTTCATCGAGAATGGCAAGCAAGAAGCACGATGCTGCGTTACAATCCGACGCCTGGAGATAAATCCCTGCATCCTTTGCAAGCGCCAAAGCCTTTTGGTGCAAAGCACGGCAGGCAGACGATCTTCTCACACCATAAATTCGTAGATCCGCGCCTGGGAACAAAACAGAGCGGTCGAGGAGGGAGTCTGGTTTGGGTCCAGGTCCGATGATGGCAGGGTGGCAGGAGATGAGTGCGGACTGTGCGCAAATGCAGTACGCTAGCACACGCTCGTCTGGAGGGAGGAGGTCGATTCGCCAGGACAGGGAAGAGAGTGTAGCTGTTAGAGCCGTCCTCCGCAAGAGAGGGAAGTTGGAGTGCGGCGAGAATGTGAAACCTAAATTTGAAGAGAAAGTATAGGATAGGATGACGAGGTGAGAGTGAGACGGGCGCACATTCGAACAGATGTTGGACGAGGTCGGAAGGAAGTTCCCCGGATGGAGGCTGGAGACTCGACCGGACGACAAGACTGCTAGATTGATCCGCCACCCCGGGATCGGGAGATTCTGGCGCAGTCAAGTGGGTTCCGCTGACGGGCAAAGGGTTTTTCCGCGGACGTCCTCGAGGAACATATGTGGTTGTACATCTGGGAGACGTCAGCAAGACAAAATCCCTGCCGTGAAGTGTGCCGACGAACAAGACTCCTTTTTCGACACACCGAGGACAAGGGAGACCATTGGGCTGGCGGTGACAGAGAACTCGTCGGGCCTTGCATGCGTCGCACGCTGGGGGCTTTGTTTTCTTGGCCGTATTGTCGCTCATGGTGGCCGGAGAGAAGAATTGTGGTGTGTGCTGCGTATTTGCTGCGGAAAAGAGAAAAGAGTTCCCGCAGCAGTGTTTGATGCCCGGCTCTCTGTGTGCGGTGCCACTGCCATTCTCTGCTGCAAGTCCCTTGGAGCACCAGGGCGAGTGGCCGCGAATCTTTGGATAATCCTGCAAGGAAAGCCCGAGTATTCACAGAGTACACGTCGGAGAGTATAGAAAGGGGAGCTCGGACTATTTCCCACTCACCAGCTTCTATCTTCTGGTTGCATCAAAGAATCGACAAAGATGACAGATGGAGACGAGATGCCAGGCGGGGTGGGTTCGATCAGGCGCTGAGAGCAAAGAGGACGAGGCCGCAAATATTACAGACTGGCGTGTATGTCGAGAATGAATCATTGAGTGCGCCTGGGCTGGATGCCGTCGATTGTGTCGGCAGATGCGGGTGCAGAATGTGACTGCGACGCACCTAGGCAGAAACACCCTCCCTCTCCTTGGATCCGACTTCCGGACTGAGTACTGAAATCGCACTCTTGAGAACCTTCAGCCGACGCCAAGCCCAAGCACTTTGCGTGACTCTATCCCGACGCTCTTGCGCTTTCCCTCGTCGTTCTTTGAGGGAGATTGTGGAGGATAAGCCTGTCGGGTTCGGTCGGCGGTCAAGAATGGAGATGCTTCAAGACTGCTTTGTGGTGGGAGATTGCAGATTGACAGGCGACAAACACAGCCAAAGCTGTCAGCAGATCAAATCCATCAGCCAGACAATCAGCCGTCAACATCAAATCTTGATCAAATCCCTCATGCTCCCGACCACCATCATCTCTTGTGAGACGAATTCCTGCCTTTCATCCATTTTCCCTATGGACATATTCCACAGATGACCGAGGATTCAGTCCAACCGTTCCTGCCACCAGAGCTCGAGCGAGTCATCTTTGAGCTGGCGGCCTACACCCAACCACGATCGATTCCGGGCCTGATATGGAGCGTGAAAGCCTGGTGTGCAGCATTTTCTTATCCTGTGTTCATTTCCCAACCTCGTCATGGTGGACCCGCTCTTCTCTCGTGTCCTTCTCTTCACCGAAGGTCAAACATGTTTGCAGGGCGTCCGCGAATATCCATACAAAGACACCCATGACTTCTCGCACACTTGTTCGATACCTCACTCCGTCCTCCGGGTGAACGTTCACCATCTCTGTATGCTCCGGACTTTTTGTTCTCCCACTGTCTTTCCGTTCGCGATCTCTGGGCACTAAGCTTGAACTCGTCGGACCTCTAAGCCTGCCTGCACCGCCTCTACTGCACCGATTTCATTCAACAAATCTGTGGACTTTACCCATCCGTTGTTTTCCGAATTCCCAAATAACACAACTCGAGATCTTCGACGCAGTAGACAGCCTCCCAGATGGCGGCTGGTCCAACCTCGCCTTGATTCCCAATCTAACGCATCTAGCGTTCAACGACGACGAATTTCTTGCTGTCTTCCCGGATTTGCTCCGCACGTGTGCTTCCCTTCACGCGTTATCCTTGGGGATGCCGTGATCAATATCTTATCGGCCTGCTTGCTTGGGCTCGTCTTCTTGTCTCTGAGTTGGAAACACAAGTACCAATCTCTCAGCAAATCTTGTTCTTCCCAGCCCATCCCCAGAACCGCTCCAATGAACGTCTTACCAACCGGGATTTCTTGGCGTTCGTCCTGTCTTTCCACCAGGAGTGGTGAGGCGCGTAAAAAAGCATGCAACTGCCTCCTTGGAGGGAAGGGATTTGGGCTGGAATCAGAGTCCGTGATGGGGTCAACGGCTGAGGGAGGGGAGTTTTACCGAGGACAATACGGCGCGAGGTGCAAAACGAGTGTCAGCGGGGTGAATCGAACACCCGTCTCCTCGGATCCATGTAGCGGAGAGATAACCACAACGAGATGCTCTAACCACTAAGCGACGCCGACGTGCAACAGATTCGACAGCGTCTCGTCGGATGCATATTCGCCACTCAGTGAAGGAGCCTATTTCTCGCGAATTTTTCAACATATCCGTTGGACCAGTGGTTCAGAGAGCACAAATAGAGGTGAAGTGGGCTCAGAGGCCCGTTATGCATGCTCCAAAGGCGAGCCATCCTGAGGAGGGAGGAGGTAGCAGCGGCGTCAAAACGGGCGCGGGTGTTATTTCGTGACGACTAATTGCGCCTCGAGATGACATGGATTTCATTTGAGCCGTCGGTCTGAATCATGTCGCGACTCACTGATATGATATATCTCCAAGGCGGCTTGGTCCGCGCTGCCGATAATGGATGTCCAGAGCATGCCATGATTGAATAGATCGCAAGCGTGTCGGCAGCTCCGCAACAATATGATCTCGTTGGAGTCGTCCTCGTCGTCCTCTGGAGCTTCCTTTGACTCCTCCCAAAGGCCATCCCCCATGCGTTTGAACAGATGGAGCAGAGCTGGTCTTGCCGCTCCCAAATGAGCTGCTGTGTCGCAGAACACTCGACACGTTCGTCGTTCGGGTGAGGGCGCGCCCAATCCACGCACTCCGTTATGATACTGACAATCTCGGGGATTGCTAGACGGTGGCAAGACGGTGGCAAACGCAAAAAGACGAAAATTACGTACGCAGATGTGGTCAACAATCAGTGATGCCATGACTTGTCCGAAACCACCATGTGCTTGCCCTGGCTCTACGGAATCCCTCCCTCAGGTGACCCCGGTGTCTTCTCCTCGTGTGGCTCGGAGCACGGAAAACGGCTCCTGAGCCCACTGATGTCTGATGAGACCTGAGGCTCGGCTAGCCACTCAAGGTCGTCATCCGCGCCGACTTCGGCGTTCGCGCGGCGCGGCTTGTGTGATCTATGGACTGCGCATCATCCCATTCTTCCACCTCCATTGCCCTCATTCACTGGGTTGGAACAGGTCTGCCAATGGTCTACGAATGCGCAACATTGAAAAATCCAAAGAGTCACTCAATAAACGAAATGGTATTCTGCCGAAAACACGACACTCGAATCTGCCTCCCTCAACACGTCCTGCATGATAACGAATTTGCTTGGGTCTGTCACCAAGATCAATCAAAATTCCGCTGCTGCACTCCCGTTGTCGAACTCACCAGGACTAACGACAATCGTCGGCCAAAACGGCGGCACCAGATCGGAGCTGTGAAGGTAGCCCGATACTCCTGCGCCGGGTTCCTCCGCCAAGACAGCGAGTGGGACGGTTTCCGTGTGCACACGCAACGTGCCGCACCACACGGAGAAAACCGATTGGGCTATTACGGGGCACGCAGAGATGAAGGTGATCGTCGGCATGATGGATTCGAGTGGCCGTGGCTGGGGGCGTGTGACGTCCCAGGTCGAGCTGGCAATCTGGAATTCGGCCATCGGGTATGTGGGGAGAATGGGGATGGAGATCGTCCTTCTGTTTGGTGCTGGGGCGGGCTGGGGCTCGGGTGTTGCATCTGCGCTGAGCGACCCACTCGTATCAGAATGCAAGGAGCTCGACCGGCTTTCCTCGCGGGATGGGGCGGGATGGAGGGGTGCAGGAGGTGCAAGCAGCTGAGTAACTAGTCAAATTCCAATGAATAGTTGGGTCATAGAACGAGCGAGAGAACTAACGCTTGGGATCTGTCGAGGAGTGTCTCAACTGCTGCAATCGACTCCCGACTTGCTTATTCGTCCGTATCGCTCCAGTCTTGATATATATGTATTGGGCGATGAATTGATTCCTTCCACGGAAACGACCGAGATGGTGGGACTCTCTCGAATAGGTCGGTACATAATTCTCCAAGGCTGGCCACGTATTAGCCGACAACGACAAACTCCACTGAGAGACAGACCTTCCAACAATGCCGCTTTCAAGTGAATTGGCCACACATCCTCACCTGAGAGAGTTTTGCGGCAGCGACGAGAACTCAACACTGAATCGAGGAGTGTGGAAGGCGTTTGGTGATGTTACAGTGGGTGCTTCTGCTCGCGAGGCATTTTTCAACTTCTGGGGAGGTTGGCGCTGTCCAGTGCGCGAGGGGCGGTCGGGAACGCAGAACGCGGCTTATCCTTAAAAACTCCCAGAGTACTCCTGCAAAGACAAACTCGATTGACCATCCATATGGAATGCTCGATGTTGGCATGATCGTCGCCATTATGAAGCTGTAGATCAAACCGTATGCAGCGGCAGCCGCCGGTAGGCATAAGAGCTAGCTCCTGTGGACATTCACCCAAGGAGGTAAACGCAGCACCAGCAAGAATGGGTTCACTAACGCAACTAACTGCTGTGTCTTCTCGTTCGGATTCAGCCTGTCTGCTGCCTGACTCCGAGCTACAAGGTAGTTCCGACCCTGACGGAGATGATACTGCAGTACTTCGACGAGAAGTATGTGATCTCCTGAATGCTCGGGGGAACTGTCCACGTGGATCCCCGACGTCGACGTCAATCATCTCAATGTGAGTTGCTTTCTTCCAAGGAGTTGCTTCACAATTAGCCACACTACAAGCGTTAAGCCGGGAAAGCAAGAAATTCAATTTAAAAATACAGGTTCTTGTTTTACAAATGTAGACGAATCTAGAGGTTGCATTAAGCATAAGGTGGGGGGAGATCATACAAAACAGAATAGGGAGCTACGTTGACGGACGGGGGAGGTGGAGGGCGTTCGCCAGCGTCACGATGACTTTTGTACCTCGAGGGAATAGCCGAGGCCTGCTGAGGCTGTATCGGAGTCGACGGAGCGGAAGGCACGGGTAGTAAGAAGGGATCAATGTGGGGGATGGTATCTCGCGGACGCCACAGACGTCGGCAGAATGGGAGAACGAGTACGAGAGCGCACAAGACGAGTAAGGCAGCCACAGAGACTCCAACAATGGCCACAGTGCCCGAGCGTCGTGCGACAAAGGAGGAATTTGGCACAGCTGGCCGCACGTCGGGCTCGCCGCCAACAGAGTCCCCGATTTCTGCGATGCATGCGGTGTTGGAAGAACCTTCAGTGGTAATGAGGATAGTCCCTGTGGCCCAGCGTCCATGCCTGAAACAGCACTCAGAAAACACGGGGACGCAAGCAGTAAGTACGACTCACGCATCGCTGGCTGATACTAGAAATTGTATGGAGGATGTATCAGGAGGAGGAAACCAGCGCACACACAAAAGGACCCACCTCCTATGAGATCAGACCCTGGTCTCGCCGTGTTGATCCAAGTAAAAATGGACTTGTCAAGGTCTGTCGCGACGGTCTCATTCAAAACTTGCGCCGAGTCCATTGCCGCAATCGTGATCGTGTATGGGGGTACGCCTCCGTCAATGGTCAGACCCCATGACTCGCAGGTACTGAGTGAGTCGGTGACGTTGGCCGTCAGCGTGAATGCGTTCTCTGTTGTCGGCTCAGGAAGACACGAAGTACTTGGTCCGTCTGCGTAGACAAATCAGCGAGTGAAGAACCCTGGGAAGGAATAGAGCCACGCACGAACGACTGTATACAGAACAGAATCTATCCCGCCGGAATTACCCTCCGAGTCGACGACCCCAAGTAGGAGTTGCGTACCTGCACCGCGCGTGGTATCAGTTACATGAGCGACAACACCGCGCAATCCTCACCGAAAGGAAATGCGACAGTCCATGTGAGATTGTTCTCATCCATGCCGAGAAGAGAGGTGGTGGGCGTTTCGTGGACGGCGAAGGCAATCATGTAGTACGGCGGGATTCCGTTGGCGATCCTGGCATTTACCGCTAGGGACAGCGTGGCGCACGAGGGGAACTCGTTCGATCTCTGGGTGAGCTTCAGTAAAGGTGCGCCGTGTCGGGATGGAGCGACCTACGTTGCCCGTGAAGCTCCATTCAAACAGTTGCTGAGCGTTGGTGACAACAGCGGCGAGGATGAAGAGGGGAAGCAGTGTGGAGTGCCAGACGGCCATGTAGGGGTGTGGGAGAGGGCAAGCACGGCGGGCAGCCGACAGTGCAATATTATGTACCGCCGACGTTCCTGTTGGTCTTCGGACGGTGTGGGAACGATTTCCGTCGGAGAAGAGCCGGATGAGCATGGCCTGAATCGGAATTGACGCGTCGCGTTGGCCACATGTAGATCTTGCTTGCACCCATCATCCTACGCCCACGGATCCGGGAGTGAGGAATAGACGTGAGCATGCACTAGAAAGCAACACAATAAGCAGCCAAGACAAGTGAATCCGGTTCTCCGCGGAGACACAGACCATCGAGCGCATAGCCCTCCGGGTTTGCGCGGCTGCGGGTTGAACATTCGACGGAAAAAATGGAGCCCCGATATGCCGTGAGTGGTCACGGCGACCACGATGGGTGCGATGCATCATACCCTGATAATGATTGCAGCGCATGACTTGAAAACGAGGAGCCACAGGCAGCCACCGTAGCATGTGGGCGGAGCTTTCAGGTGGCAAGAACGGAGACAAGCAGTATCATCAGAGATTCAGATTGAAATGGAGTGTCGGCGAGGCTCGAGCACCGTCGGTGGCGCATTACGATGCAGCGAGCTCGGGGAGAAGTGGGTGGAGAAAGACGAGTGGCCAACGAGAAGCCAATGGCTATGAGCAAGTTTTGGCGCACGGACCATGTCACGTGGAGTGATGGCACGTGAGACGGCAGTCGAATCGCCAGGGGTTGTCGAGTTTAGGAGCCAAGTACGAGTTCAAAATGGGTCTTTTGGTGGCCTCCGGTGCCGCTACCGAATGGATCAAGATCAACGTGATCAGCGCAGTAGCAAGCAGTGACTATGAACCTCGGCATCTCACGGCATATTCCGGCGGGAGTGATGCGGGTCCCACATTACTTCGGACCACTTCGGCAGGCCACAGTACATGTATCACACGGAGCTTGAAGATCGCTCTTCGGATTCCGATGGAAGCAAATTCAATCAACAAGTCAACAAGAAGTTCCGAGTCTTAAAAATTTATTTTTAAGCTCGGTCTTATCGGCCCGTTCCCCGCCAAAAGTGGGGTCCA